TGCTCTTTGTGTTGTTTCTAATTTTTTAGCAGATTTTTTGGTAAGGGCTACTGTCTCCAAACCGTAGATACAAACTGGTAATATGCATGAGTTATACACCTTTTTCTTTAAGTTTATAGGAATTGAGGTGTTTTTCAAGATTTTTGCTAGTTTGCCGAAAGCGCCCCATGCCAGTTGTTTTCTTCTTTTAATTTCAGCATCTTAATTTGGTTTTCCTAGTTTGATAACATGACCTAAATATACATAATATATATATATATATATATATATGTAATAATTCAAGATTTTTTTGTATTGTTATATTTGTCTGGTTTTGGCTTAGTATTTTTGTTTTACTGTAGTTCATTTGTAAGCCTACCGCTCCTGAAACTGCATTTAATTGTTGTAACATATCATTTAGTTCTTGGATATTATCGGCTATTAAAACTATGTCATCTGCGAATCTCAAGTGGTTTAAGTATGATCCGTCGACGTTGATACCCTTATTGTTCCATTCCAATCTCTTAAAAATATCTTATAGAGCAAGGGTACATAGTTTGGGAGAGATGGTGTCTCCTTCTCTTACTCCCCGTTGTAGTCTTATGGGATTGGTTTTTGTACTCTTGTCTAGCTTTATCTGCATGGTGGCATTTTCGTTATGTTTTTAATTATGTTAGTGTATCTTGAATTTATGCGTGCATTTTCTAGAGATTTAAGCACTGCTCATAATTCGATGGAATCGAATGCTTTATGGATATCGACGAACGCCAGATGAATTGGAACATTATACTCGGTGCATTTTTTATCAGTGTTCTTACGGTGTGCAAGTGGTCTATGGTAATAAAATGTTTTCTGAATCCAGTCTGCTTGATAGGTTGATAGAAATCGAGCTTGTGTGTTAGGCGGTGGGTTATGATTTTAGTTAGTAATTTACACAGATGTGATAGCAAGGGTATTGGTCGGTATTCTCGACGTTTGCTTTGTCTCCTTTCTTAAATAGTAAAATGACTTCGAAGTTGTACCATTCTTGAGGAATTTTTTCTTCGTTAATTACTTCATTAAAGAAAATATTTAATACCTGTTCCATTTTTCTGCCACCAATTTTCAACATTTCAACTGTAATCTTATCCTCTTCTGGACATTTATTCGTTTGTAGTTGATTTAGGGCCATTCTTAATTCATGGTCGGTTATGTCCGGTATTTCTTCTGAGTCGGTGTTAATTATTGTTCGTTCAGTACGTCGTTGGCTGTGTATTTACCGAGTATAATTTAGTGTAGAATTTTTCTCGATTTTTACGCAATGTCGATTAAAGTTGGAAAACCTTGATGATATTTATGACAGCAACTAACAGTAACTACGAAGGAAGCTACGATCTACGAAGCTGAGATATAATACGATCCTTAACAAGTCTAATGGTTTGACCAGTGTATGGCTTGCCACAATTATTACATGGTAAACTGTAAACTACATCAGACAACAGCTCCTTTGGTAATCTATCTTTCATCGTTAAAAATAGGTTAGGAATAGTTAACACTGTGCTAGTAGTTATTTTAAGGTTTAACTGGTTCTTTACAATTCGTGTGATTTTTGGCGTAATCTACCTAATAAATGACAAATGTATAAATGCAATTATCTTCATATTGTTACAATTATCATTATTTGCTGTATTATAATTATGAATTAAGTTATTTATAATAGCTGTTCTGCTAGATGGAGTGTCAAATAATAGGTGTAATATTACAGACGAGTAATAATTATAGGAAATATATATCTAAGACAGAAATAAAAAATTTAGGCCATGAAAATGAACAACTGGAGACCAAATTGACAACTTACTGGACTTTGGCAAAAAACGATGATATTAAGTAAAAAATGAAAATTGCTGCAGACATAATAAAAAATACAAAAGACCAAACTGGCATGCAAATGCTAAAACCTGCAAATAATGCCTGAAAATCAATGGCTAAAAAAATATAGACAACAGGGCCAGCTAAAAGAAAACGAGGAAGACAAAATGGTCCTGTACAGAAGATTTCGAAGACATAATGAGAAAATTAAAACTTAAAGATTACTTTGATACAAAATTTAATTTAAGATGCCAGAAACAGCGCCAACTGTAGAAAACTTATTACTATTATTATATTAGGGTAAATATTGAGTTCTTAATTTGAACCACACATGATTAACTTTAATTACTATTTAACTGGGAATAAGCCACAATTAAAGATAAAAATACGTTTATTGACGTTTCAATTTCCACTTCGGAAATCGTTCTCAAAATACAAACAGTAAATTTACTGTTACTATTTACTGTTTGTATTTTGAGAATGATTTCCGAAGTGGAAATTGAAACGTCAATAAACGTATTTTTATCTTTAATTGTGGCTTATTCCCAGTTAAATAGTAATTAATTTAAAATGCCACAAGAAAATAGCTTTAGAACAATATGATTTACTTTGGCGTAATATTAATGATATAATAATAGTAATAATGCCCATAAGACTACTAAAAAAATGACATCCAAAAAAAGTAAAAACAGAAAATATTAAGAAATTTGCGAAAATAGTTAAAAACACTACTAGAGGCATAGAAGAACAGTGGAACGAAATGAAGGCATGGATTACCACAACTTCGCATGAATATTAAAAATAAAAACGAGAAAAGAAGCAAGAATAAATGACAGATAAAAAATTACAAACAACGAAATAGTAAAAATAATTTAAGAGGCAGAAATAACAAAGAATACAAAAAGTTGCATAAGACTATACTAAAGGAGATAAAAGAAGCAAAAGAAGCATAGCTGATTGAGAAATGTATGGAAAATGAAACAACACAACGCATACATGACAATTTCTATATAAAATATTAGAGAGGTACAGAATACCAGAAAATAATGCAATACAGGCATAGTTGTAGATATTAACAGCCAGATTTTGACAACCATTAAAGATAAATTACGAAGATGGAAAGAATATATGCAAGAATTATTCGAAGGTGCAGCAGGTCCAACTGAAATAAATAATCCCAACAACTCAGAAATAACAAACGAATAAGTAACTATGGCCATTAAACGGATTAAAGATGGAAAATCACCAGGACCTGATAAAGTGGATGGTGAAATTTTAAAGCTATTAGAAGCAAATCAAATCACAGCTTTTATGAAGCTATTCAACAACATTTACGAAACTGCTTACTTACCAAAAGACTGGCTACAATTAAGTATCAATATACGCATAAGACTTCTCTATGAAGTACAAATGTGGTGCTATTAGAGGCATTTGAAATGTGGTGTTACCGACGTTTGTTAAGGGTCTTACATATACACCACACAAGTAACATAACTATTCTCCAGAGGCTAAGAAAAGACAAAAAAATTATTAACACCGTAAGAAACAGAAAATTGAGAGGCCCTTTGCGTAGACGTATATCTTGGCTGGGCAGTCTCAGGAAGTGGACTGGTCTAACGTCAACTGATCTATTTCGAGCTGCTGTGAATAGAATAAGATGAATTAATGTGGTCGTTAACATCTTTAAAAGATAGGCACATTTAGAAAAAATAATTTTTTTTTGAACCTATTCTCTATCCTTCCATTATTCGATATAGTTATCCCCCAGTTCTCTCCATCTTTCCTTATCTTGAGCTGTTCTCTGCCATGTGGGACCTCCTTGTTTTCTGATGTTATCTTTCCACCTCATCTGCCTCTTAATCTCTTTGCATTGAATGGACGCCACTTTCCGATGGCATTGTTCCATCGTCCGTCTTGGAGACGTTCATTGTGTCCAGCCCATTTCTTTTGCAGTTTTGCTGCTTGTTCTATCGCGTCTGCTGTCTTTGTTCTGGTCCTGATTTACTGGTTACGTTTCCTATCTTTAAGTGATGTACCCAACATTTGTCTCTCCATCGCTCTTTGTGCCTTCCTTATCCTATTTAAATTGGCCCGTGTAAATGTTCATGTCTCTGCTCCGTAGGTGAGCACCGGTATTATACAGGGTTATATACCTTGCTTCGTAAGTAAAGAGGGATTGTTTGATCTGTTAGAAAGTAAGAATATTTGCTGAACGCTGCCCATCCCATTCTTACTTGTCTCGATTTTTCGGCTGTTTGATTTTCTCTGTTAGCTCTGATTGCTTGTCCTAGATAGATATACTCATTTACCCGTTCTCTTTTTTCTGTTTGTATTTTTATTGCCTCTTGGTCTTCCGTGTTTGTCATTACTTTTGTTTTGTTGAAGTTAATTTTTAGGCCTTTTTGCAGTGATTTTTCACGAAGTTTATTCAGCATTAATTCCAGTTCTTGTCATTCCGAAGAGATCAGGAGTATATTATCTGCATATCTAAGGTGATTTAGGTACTTTCCGTTAATACATATTCCTCTGTTTTCCCAATCTGTTTGGTCTCCCAATCAAATTTCTCCTAGATCTCTTTCTTAATTGTTCTCAGCTTAAAGCATGATTAGTTCTCATTTTCCTATATTTGTCTTCATTGTTTTTAAACTTTTGTTCTTCTCTATGACTTTCTTAATGCGATCTTCTTGGTAATTCTTTAAATCTTCCTTTATCTGTTTGCTTATGGTTTTGTTCAGTTCGGTAAACTTCACTGTATTTCTTTTGTTATCATTCAGGAGTTGTCGTCGTTTTTTTTTTAGCAAAAAATAATATTAATATTTAATAATAGTAACTATTAAAAATATGATAAAATTATAGCTAATCTCTGGCTATTTTAAATGCCGGTTTTGGAATGTCCTAAATGCTCATGGTTGGAGGATATCCTTATCAATACTTTTATTCCTAAAAAACTAAAATACTTAAAAAGTTAACAATATTTCTTTATAGAAAAAAATCAAATTCCATTTTTTAAGTTTCAAGTGTTCGTTATCAAATAAAATAATAATTACAAGTAATTGATTTACATATTTGTCATTCATTCTTTAATTTATATATGAATAATATGAAGAAATCAAGGATAAGATAAGAAGTTTTACAATAAAATAAAAATCCAATCATGGGAAGATTTAGTGCTAAAAGTTTTCAAGACACATTCAAACATGATGGGTTAGTATCATACGTAATTCATTGTAGCTATTTTTTTAACATTTGCTCCTGTTTTAGGTGTTAATGGTATTTTGTGTACTCTACTTGTGGTATTAAGTTCAGGTAAGACATTTTTTGTGACTATAAAAGATAAAAATTTTGAATCAAACAATATTTAATATTTTCTTTAACTCTGCTTGTCTTGCGATAGTACAGATACTTTACAAGTAATGTTAGAGACATATCAAAAATTGCAGAATTCATTTTATAATAATAAATGCATCATGCGATGTTTAAATTCCTTACTTTCTTACTTGCTTCATTTTCAGACTTTAACACAATAACTTAAATATATCTTTTACCTTTTTTTTTGTTTATGCATTCTGATTTATCGCGTAATTATATACAGTGTGTAAAAGCCAAATGAAATAAATTCATTATTTAGGTTACCTCTTATTTAGTAACCCTCTTAGAATAACAAGTACAACCCCCAATTTTTCAAAAAGGAAGTATAGGCTTGTGACATATCGTTTGAAAGGTCTTTTCATTCTCCATTTTAAAATGTTGTTGCTTTGAAGTTTATTAGGAATAATTAAGATAAAATAAATTAAAATCATATGGTTACCGAAATTCGCTACAATACAATCAAAAACTAAAATGTAATGCAAAATGTAATAAAATGTAAAACACGAAAAAGAACTATAAATGTTAATGAAGTAGATGTTCAAAATGTTCACCGCGAACGTCTTGGCAACATCCTAATCTCAAATAAAACTGTCTTCTAACAACACAACAGGCGTGATCGACCTAATCGCAAGCGTTATTCGTTTTGTTAAGTAATTTAAATCAGAAGGTTTAGTTTTGTACACATGGCTCTTCACATATCCCCATAAAAAGAAATCTAATAATGTAAGACCAGGTAATCGCGTTGGCGTGATTCAATCGATCCTCGTCTCCCCATCCACCGGTTGGTAAATATTGTATCGAGGTACTGCCGGACATTAAGTTGGTAATGTGGAGGTGCTCCATCCTGCTGAAACCATATCGTATTCGATGGAACTTGAGGGTTTCCTGGATCAGGATATAAATTTGCCAGCGTTCGAATGACATCATTTTGAAGTAGTGCCAACTAATTGTTGCCATTGAAGTTGCCCTCAATGAACAAGGGACCAATGATATTGTTTCCTACAATCCCTGCCCAAACATTAACCTTTTGAGGGTATTGAGTTTGTTCTTTTCTCAACCAGTGAGGATTTTCCGTGGTCCAGTAGCGGCAATTTTGCTGATTAGCATGACCGTTAAGTGAAAACGTACAGTCATCAGAAAACATAACGTCTTCTAATTGGATAATATTGTTATCCAACATGTCCATCATTTGCTCACAAAAAAGTTCTCCTATCAAAACCGTCTTTCATGAGCTCCTGAGTAAATATCATCTTATAGGGATGCAATTTATTTTCTTTTAATATGTTTACTATCGATGTATGGCTAGCATTGAATGTAGTGGATGCCTGTCTACTCGATGTATGTGGATTTTCCTGAAACTCAAGTAACTCATGCTTCTCTATTGCATGAAAGTGCTTCTCTATTTTACTTATTGTTCCTTGGGATATAGGCGGTAAATTAGGAAACTTCTCATGAAATAGGCGAGTTACTTCCTATTGTGTTCGGGTGTTATCTCCGTAACCAATCATTTGTAAAACTGTTATTTTATGCATTCCCGTTAATATAACCATTTTTCAGAATTGAATTAAACGAACTTTTTACAAATTAAAATATTGACAACTTAAATAAAACAATTTACTAATTCGTGCTAAAATAACGTTGCCACGGAAATTCTTCAAAGTTTTTTAATGGTTACCATCTAAAAACCACATTGTTATGGTTTTTGTTCACTTTCTCATTATCAAGACCTAAACGGGAAATAAGTTTTGACAACATTTTAGCGAATTTCGGTAACCACATGATTTTAATTTATTTTATCTTAATTAATTTTAATAAACTTGAAAGCGACAACATTTTTGAATGGAGAATGAAAAGACCTTTCAAACGATATATCACAAGCCTATACTTCCTATTTTATAAACTGGTGGTTTTACCTGTCATTCTAAGGGTTGAAGGTAGGGGTTGCATTTTCACGTTAAAGAATGTCAAGTTATAATTTAAATTTGACGGGTTTCGGGATTTTTTATAAATATATACAGTAACCTAAATAATGAATTTATTCCATTTGGCTTTTACACACTGTATATATTTAAACTGTTGATTATTTTCATATAACGACCTTGGTTGATTATTATCTTTTACAATTTCAGATGCTTGTACCTTCGTACACTTTGCAGTTCTTAACCTTTAATCTATTGTATCAAATATTACTACTTCATTTACTTCTGTCGTATTTGCGATCAATTTTTTTAAATCGGTCCCGTTCATTTTTATAAGGCTCTAGAATCCGATAAAAAGATCCGAAATTTTTAATAGTGTTTATTTTATTTGCAATAGGGTGAAATGGGGTAACTGTGGCACCCATTATTGTTTTTTTTTTAACTAAAGTGATATTATAAAATGTACAGTATATTCTTGTTTAATGTCTTTGGTAGTAACTAGTGACAAATTCTTGAGACATTTACCTACCAAAACAAAAATTCCGTTAGCTACTAAAAATCTGACCGCAATTTTTTTATTAAGATCGATTGCTTCGTAGTTGAGTTAAATTTCAAAAACTTGGTCCAGTACAGAAGCAGTCCCAATTTTCCATACATATGCTTCTGAAAGTAAACTTGAGGTGTCATCTAGCGCTCGGTAACAGGAGTAAGAAACAGGAATAACAACGAAAGAGAAGCATAGGGAGGCGTAAAATGTCATGGTTGCGCAACTTGAGCGAGTGGTATAGATGTACATCAAATGAACTTTTCACAGCAGCCGTCTCAAAAGTCCCAATAGCTATGATGATTGCCGACCTCCGCCGCAGAGATGGCACTTGAAGAAGAAAAAGATTGAAAAAGGTGTCCATAATTACCCCGACTTAACAAGAAGTGATCGGTGCAAATGTGGACAGCGATACCAGAGGCAACTTTGGTTTTAAGAGTTTCTCGGTTAGTTTGTTTACAAACCTAACCTAACCTATTCTGTGGATGAAAAAAAGCCAAAAAATATGATAACAAGACTACCAATCGTTATGTCGTAGGTATTCATAAGAAGTAGTAGAACTGGCAATAAGAGATGTAAAATTGGGAATCAACAACAGTTTTGGCAAGTGCTAATGCCAACGGACACATATTGCCATCTATGATACTACACAAGGGAAAACAGTTATGGGACAATATGTTCGATACAAATAAGTATTCGGAGACTTCTCACTACGTATCCGAAATTGGTTGGATGAGTGAACAAGTATTTTTTCTATAGTTCATATTTTTTGAAAAATTGCCTCGAAAGGCCTAATCTTTTGATTTGCGATGGTCATTTATGGAAGATGAGGAAGGAATGCAAAGTCATAAAAACTATACAAATGAAAAAACTGGAATATCTGGGCCACATAATGAGAAGAGAAAAGTACTCTCTGCTTGGACTCATAATCCAAGGAAAAATTTCGGGAAAGAGAAATGTGCGACGTAGGAGGATTTCCTGGTTGCGAAAGTTAAGGGAGTGGTATGGGTGCAGTTCAATACAGTTGTTCAGAGTTACAGCCAACAAAGTAAAGATTGCTATGATGGTGGCCAACCTCCGATAGGAGACGGTACTACAAGAAGAAGAAGGTTATTTATCGTACATTTCATCCAAACTAATTGCGATGGCTATGGCAAAATATGTGACTATTCTTAAATTACCGCCATCTACTTTTACAATATTGCTACCTTTGGATGTGTCTGTCTTACAGTCTTCATGGGATTCTTTTACATATTGGCAGCGTAGGAAAAGCTGGCCGCAGTATTCGAGAAGTTGAATCCCGAAAAATTAAAACAATAATATGAAAGGAAAAACGCTCTTAAAACTATCGCTGACGAGCAAAGTTTTACGGGTAAGTAAACTCCCATCCTATGTACATCTACTACAGAAAGCTAGAATTGCATTGCATCAACTTCCGTTACATTCTGGTAGAACGATCTACTACCAAAAGTGAAACTTTTTCCGAAGCTTCCATACACAAATACTCCACTTCACCCTATATTATTTATTTACTATATTTAACCCTGTGTTATTCTTTGCTATGTTAAATATGTCGTTTATTTTATATAATTTCTGCTACTTTTTTATACAATTTTTGAAAAATTCGTCATTATATTGTACGTATATTGTATTCAAGACTTAACCATAGCTTCAATTAATAGAAAAGTTAATATTAAATGAATTAAATGAATGAATTTAAGTTCATAATTTTCTTGCAACCTCATATTTTAGGATCATTAATTTATATTAGATTTGTTTATTTTTTTATGTGCTGCTTATTCGTCATTCAGTTTGGATTCTACCCTTTATCTAATTAAAGGGTTCGGTGCAAAAACCAGTCAACCAGTTGTTTTATAATTTGTAGAAAATCAAAAACTTTAATATTGGTATTGGTAGGAATTCTCTCTTATGTTTTAACTCAAAGCAACTTTTAAACACAAAAAAACGTAATACAGACCACAGGGGAAAAACAAATAATGTGATATAAAAAAGACAACTTTTTAGCAAAGAAAACTGTTCAACATAACATAAAAAACTAGAAATCTTGACGTTCAACATTTTCAACTGTCACTCTCCAATTTTTCTTCTTGTTGTTTATCTTGATTTGTTACTCGTATTGGCTTGTACTACCAGTTATTGGTGATACTTGCTTACAGTACAGAACCAACTGTTATATTTTGCAACAAAAATATTACGTTATACTTATATGCGCTGTTTTTTTTTTTCTCTCTCCTGTGGTCGAGCGTTTCCGTTGCTCCACACACGTTCATTCTCCTAGATAAATATCTTCTTTAATTTTTTCTCCCGTACTATAAAACTACTCAAGTATGTTCTGTTTGGTAATTTGGTCTAGTAGTTTCTTTTTAAATTAGTTCATTTGCTAAAATAATTTATTTTTCCCTCTAGCCTGTTTACTTTTTAGAACGCTTCGTTTTGATTGTTACTTCATCTTT